AAAAAAGAAAAGACCAGAACATCTCCTCACCAGCAATCATCACCCAGATCAGCAGAGGTTACCACCAGGCACACAATCAAGCAGGGAACAATGCCCTAATCAAGGAACTGCCAGAGGAACAAAACAAACCCCCCACCCCCACCAACACTGGCAGGGCAGGCCACAGTATATAAACAGAGAGCAAACCCCATCCCATTCTAGCACTGAAGAAGTTACCTAGCTGGGTAATGAAATGTTTGTAAGAAAAAAACCAAGCTCAGAGGACCCCAAGGACTCCACAATGACACTTTTTTATGACAACTTCTCCAACATTTGGAAGAATAATTTTGATATATACAGTATGAATCTGGCTGGAGTCAAATGCCAGCAACGTGTAATCTTCCACTGCAGTCTTTGCATTGAAGCTGAGGTGAATTTACCCATTTCCCATAATTCCTGCCAATTTGTCTCCTATCTGGATTTACCAAGATCAGTATCCCAAGCTTCCTTTAAACTATGGGGTGGATCTTACGAGACTAGGCTGAAGCTGCCATAATTAAAAGATGAAGCAGGCACATAAACAGGACAAAAAGCCAGGAATCTTATCTAAAAGATCCTTTTGAGGAGGTAGATAAGAAGGAAACCAGCCATTAAGGAAACAAAGGAAAAAATGTCACCTGAACCAGACAAAGGAAGTTGGGCCTGAGCACCTGGAAACTGCCCCCCCATCCCATCAACAGCTACCAGACCTATAAATTAACAAGGCAAGAGTAGCTGCCAGTCTTGTGAATCAACAATGCAAGGACTTTGGGGGATAAAAAAAGCTAGTGCCTGGCAGCCTAGTTTAGAAGGATATGGGTAAGTGTGGATGAGTGTGTACACGTGTGAGAAAGAGCAAACATACATTGTAACCAGTAAAGTTTTGCTGTTACTTTAAATTCACTGGGTCTATGTGTATTCCAAAGAAGCTGTTGTGCCTCAGTGTTGGTTGAAAGTGATGTGTGCGTGTCCCTAATTACTTCCCGCCTATTGCCCAGGCTGTGTGTCTTGTCTGCTCTCTGGAAAACCCAGGTAGAAAGCAAGGGAGGCTTACAAGATCCATGTCTCTCAACAGGCTGTGAGAGCGTGATTGAGTGACCCTAAGCGGAACCTGGGAGCGCCTATAACAGTCTCCTATTTCTAATTGCAAACAGTTGATTACGTGCCATCAAGTCGTTTTTGACTCCTAGCAACCACATAGATTTTTTCCATGATCTAATTGCAATAATAACCTATATACATTTTTGAGATTGTTCCTTTGAGTTGTTCTAAAGTAGTTAAGTATTAAATTCTCGAAATTGGTATAAGGCTGTGTTGCTGAAACTCTAACATTTCTATTGCCCAAAAGAGAATTGAGTTGATATCAGAAGAACCATGGTAACTTAACATCTGTTTGTTGCTCTATCTGATCTTTATTGAGAGGTTCTTTATTACTTTAAAAATTCTTTAGTCTATAAAGGCTGTATTCTCTCATAAATTTCATTTTAGCCAAACCATGATTATCGTGATCTGTATATGTTACTAAAGGAGTTAAAGGAGAAGTGTCATTTATCAAAGCTACGTATTTACTCTTCCAAACTTGAAGCATCACTTTAGTGAAAATATTTTTAATCTTTTTTATTCTAGAAAAATGTTTTGGATGAAAAAATATCCATTGATTTATTAAATTATTTGGTTGTAATATAGTTTCAGTTTGGATCCATTGCTTAAAAGAGTCTTTCATAATGAATCAAATCATATGCCCTAACTGCCTCTAGATAATATATTATCAAATTGGGTATGCCCCAGGCTCCCTCTTTCTGAGGTCTATATAACGTCCTTTTTTTATTCTCATTTTTTTTGCATGAAAGCAGAAGCTTTTTATTTTTATTTTTGCCAATGTCTTAAAGTCTGTTCTGGAATTTCCACTAGAAGGCATTGAAATAGAAAATTGAGCCTTGCAAGGATTTTCATTTTTACCACTGCAATTTGCCCTCAAAGGTTGAAATGTTTTGAAGCCCAGTTTTTCATTTCTCTGTTTCATTTCTTTTTTATTTATGAATATTTTAATAATAGTGATGCCCAAACATCTTAAAGATTTATATACTATTGGAATCACTAAATCTATAGAAAGTTCCTTTTGAATTTTGGGAGGAGTGTGAAAAAACATCAAATGTGATTTGTGAAAATTAACTGATAGTCTTGACACCTCTACAAATTCCTCTTAACTCCTTCTTAATATAGCTAGCTGAATGGGAAACATTTGAGAGAGTCAGAACCATATTATCCTCAAATAGATTGAAAAGATATGTCTTGTCACGCAATGCCAAGCCATAAATCTGATTGTTAGATCTAAGTGCTATTGCCAGCACTTCTAAAGCTAGGTTGAATAATAAAGGTAATAGGAGGCAACCCTGCTTGGTACCTCTTAAAATCGTAACAGAATCTAAATCACAACTGTTAAGTCTTATCTGAACTTCAGTTGGTCCATAAATATGCTCAATCATCTTACAAAAACCAGCCAAATTTGTTTAATATTTGTTTTAAGAATTGTAGTTTCAGAGAATCAAAGGCTTTAAATATATCTACAGAACATATGGCTAATGAAAGTTTATTAATTTTACTAATTTGTATAATATTTAATAATTTCCTGATGGGGTAGATATATTTCGATTTGGAATAAAACCATCTTGATCTATATGAATAATTTTACTTATAATCACTTTTAAACAGTTAGCTAACAATTTAGTATATGGTTTATAGTCTGTATTAAGAAGTGAGATGGGTCTGTACATTGCCAATTCCTGAGAATTTTTACCCAATTTAAGGATCATAATTATCTTAGATTGTTTCCAAGAGTCTGGCAAGGGGTCCCCCTGGTGCAAAGTATTGCATAAAAGTAGAAATTCAGGTATGAAGACTTCTTTAAATTCTTTGTAAAATTCCCCTGACAGTCCATCAGGGCCAGGAGATATTCCATTTTGATTAGTGTTAAAGACTTCAGAGATTTCTGAAAGTGAGAAAAGAAATTCCATAAATTGTATATCCTCTGGAGCTAATACTGGGAATGTTAATCAATTTAAATATTGATTAATTTTTGTTAGTGATGAATTATTTAAGGAATATAATTGTTGAAAAAAATGTTTGAATCATTTACGTATATCTTTGGTTTTAGTCACTATTTCCCATTGCTGTTTTTAATTGCACTAATGCACTTTTCCCTTAGCTTTTTTCAGTTTATCTGTCAGTATTCTAGAATTTTAATATTGTGTTCATAGTATCTTTGTTTGGCAAAAATAATTTGAGAGGAGATTTTATCTGTCTCCAAATCATCTAACTCTCTCCTTTTATTTACCATCTGTTTATATATACTAGCTGATCCAGTTCTCTTATATTTTGCTAGCAGTTTGGTAATTTCTGAATAAAGCTTACTTGCCTTTTGTGATGGTATTTTTTTAATTGTGGTCATCTGGTTTATACACTCTCCTGTAAATACTGCCCTCATAGTATCCCACCTTATTCTTACTGATGTTTCATTTGTATTATTTTCTTGAAAAAAAATTCTCAAAGTTTGTGTTGTTGTTTTGCTGCTGCATTGTATAATAATCCAGAGGATTATTGTATAATTATCCAGAGGATTATTAATAAATCCAGAGGATCATTGGTTGCCCTCTCCCCTCTTTGGAAGAACTTTATAGTTCCCACTGCCTT